TCGTCCATCATATGATGCACATCATCAGAGCTGAAAATGACTCTTGCAAAAGTGTCAAGTTAACAGACATCAAGTCAAAAAGACGATCCGGCTCTATTTTCTTTGAGAAACTCATGAATGAAAAAAAAGATAATTTATATACATGAATAGATATACATTTAATGATTTGTAAAATTCCCTTTTATATTGGTTATTGTAGTTTTGATTAAATGTTTGTCTCTATGACAACCAGAGGTTGACATTGAGCTTTTTTGATTACTCTATAGCATATAGACGTTAACACACAGATTCGCTAACACCGATTTTTCGTTTTGACTAGCTTTTCGAGCCTACCAGCAAATCAGATCTATGAGTTGTGTTCACCCTATTTCATTTAATGTGATGACGAATTGGTAGTTGAATTGTCACACAATGAGTAGAGCTGCCAAAAGAGGCTCCCCTCCAGACAGGAATGGACTGCAGTTTCAGCCTCACCTTAACTGGCCTTATCAATTCCGCCAGCGGCCGGTATTCGAGCCAAGCATACTCTCGACATCTTTGAGAAAACGAGGCCATGTGAAATTGACTGGAAGCATCAGCTCCACTTCATGTGAATGTGAGAAAATTCAACTGTCAGTCCTTCATCACCTCAAACCAATCAGAGTGAGCACAGCTAACACATAAATACAAACACACAAAAGTTAAACTATCATAACTGAAGCATTCTATATCTATCCATGTCTATATGGAAATCCTCAGGGCAAATTAATTTTGATGCACAATTAGCTCTTGAATAAGAACTGTATTCATCCATTTCATTTACGGTGATCAACGACTGGGAGCTGAACTTTACCACAATCAGACGAGTATGCCTTATTGGCGTTTTTGTTGGTGTGTCAAGACCACCAGCTGCCCTACCACAACCCGAGTTCGAGTCCTGCAAGGCGAGTTCGAGACTGCAGTTCAATCCAACTTGTCTAAAGATGCCTTTACGGAAGCAAGATTAAGTGGAGACATGATTGCGGAAAAATGCAACCACCAGTACAATGGTTCCCAAACTTTTCCCAGTCGCGGCGCTGTTTTTCAATTAAAATTTTCCACGGCGCTCTACCCTAAGTATGACTATTCGTAGGTAAAAGATTAAAAAAATAAAACTCGTGTATCGACATTATTTTTTTACCCTATCAAAATTAAATTAGTATTAAATAATTAATGTAATTGTAATGTAAATTGAAGCTTTTGCAATATTTCGCGGTGCACAGTTTGGGAATCAATGCACCGGTAATTAGTTACCGTGAACGAAATAGGATGAATGCAATTCTTATTCAAGATCTACTGGTAGCCTAGCAACCTACTTATAGACGAAAATGAACTTGAAGCATTTGCAAGAATGAGTTCCAGCCGGTGCTGCTCGGATGGACGAAAGCCCAGCCCAGTTTCACTCGAAACGAGGGAGGATGTCTCCAGTTCAACACGAATCCACCGTCGCCTTGTGGTGAGATTGGCCTACGAATCTGTGCATCACACAATGCATACACACACACACTCACACAATGCGACCTCAAGAGGTTCATCGAGACCCAACCACTCTACAAATAGGACCTTTTGCTCTTCTTGTCTGTCACAAATGATGTCTATTACGGAGCGACAGGCGAAACTTCGGCATGACGAATCCACTCTTCTGGACGGAACACCTTCTAGACGGATTGGCACAAGTCAACAATCTTAAAAAGCCTTAAATGACGTCACCTTTCGTCTTCCATTCATCCAGCTTTTTCTGGAACGAACGATCCAATGCGTAAATCAGATCAGACCACTTCGATGTCCTAAATTTTCATCAAGCACACAATATTGAAGCATGTTTACATGTCGCTTTGAGAAGACGATACCGAAAACACCTTTTTATGACAGTGAGATAAAACGAACTGTTTCCACGAACTAGACTCTGATCACGGAAAAGAATGGCAAACTTTTGATTTTCTCCCATAAACCATTATGTTATCAAATATAATTAGTGTCTGGTTAGGAAAAAGAAGAAGTTTTTTTCACTTTTAATTACAATAATTACTGGCCATAAAACTGCGCTTTTAGCAACGAGTCTAAGTTCGCCAGACGGGGCAATGAGTTAACTTTATTGCACCATAAACGAGCAGAAAGCCTTCCCAGTTAAGAAAGTTTGCAATCTGTGACCGAGAAAGAAAGAGTAGCTAAGCACACGGAAAATAGTTGTCTATTCTATGGATTTAGCCAGAAGGGTACATGGTTTAAGGACGATAAAAGACGAGCCAACCATTCCATTGTAAAAGGAACAAATAAATGGGAAGTCAATACAGAAATTCCACCTAGTTTCTGGTCATAAAGCTAACCAAAATCTCGGATAACAGATAGGCTTAACGCCTATTTCTCTTCTATTGGATATGTGATGGGATGCCTTGCATCTTTTGCTAATTTCGAAATTCCACTTCTAACAAAAGACATTTGTCGATTGCAACAGCAAACACAACTTTGCTTCGTCAACAATCTCAGCACACAAATGTGATATGTGACAGGCCTAGGCTTCCGTGAAATTCACACCTTTCCTCTAATCCAAAGACATTGGTGCCAGTCTGGCGGGGTGGCCAACGTGTCAAGGATATATATGCTGCCTAACCGCAACTCGGGTTCGAGTCTCGCTGGGGGTGCTGATGAGACCAGGTCAGTTGAGGTCACAACTCCAGTCCACCCCTTGTTATATGAGATGTATTCACCGTATTTCGTTTAAGATTACGAAGGACTAGTAGTAGAATTTCCCCACAATTTCACATAGCCTTGCTTTCCCAAAAGTTGTTCTCATTCAGGCACCAGTGGACTGCAGTCTTGACCTCGCATCGGTCTAATCAACACCCACGAAACAATACTTAAATGCGAAAAATAAAATGATTTTTATGTTTATGATCTACTTGTAGTATCTATAAGCTAGTTATAAACGAAAAATAAGTAGTGTAATCGATTGCTATAGAAAATACAACTTGACTTCATCTGATTTCCCAGCCCCGAATGTGATATGGAAAAATTCCTGGCATTCCTTCAAAAGTAAATCTTCCCTGTAGCAGGTAAGGGTATTCGAGGCAGTGTGGCGTAGTGGTTAACATGTTGAGAATATA